GGATGTGGTGATGGGCACCTGTAATCCAAGCTACTTGGGAGGCTGATGCAGGTGAACTGCTTGAACCTGGGAAGGGGAGGTAGCAGTGAGTCAAGATTGTGCCACTGCAGTCCAGCCTGGGCGACAAGAGTGAAACTCTGTCTCAAAGAGAAAAGAATTCAGAGCTGGTTACCTTTTCAAAGAGGATGAGCAAGGGTGCATATCCACGAGCCACTTCCCCCTACTTGACAAGTTTGCAGAAGTGGCATTCTGTAAGCACAATAAATGTAAGGGTGCAAACAGAACAGCGCAGTCCACTGTGGGTGGCTGTTCTCTGTGTGTCAACAGGAGTCCCAGGAGCTGTGACAAATGAGTGTGAGCTGGCTGGGGAGCCACTAGCTCAACACAGTGTTGCCACAATGCTTTAATATGTTTAAAAAAAAAAAAAAAAGGGCCAGGCAAGGGGCTGGGAGCGGTGGCTCACGCCTGTAAGCTCAGCACTTTGGGAGGCTGAGGCAAGCAGATCACCTGAGGTCAGGAATTCAAGAACAGACTGGCCAACATGGTGAAACCCCATCTCTACTAAAAATACAAAAATTAGTTGCACATGGTGGCAGGAGTCTGTAATCCCAGCTACTCTGGAGGCTGAGGCAGGAGAATCGCTTAAACCCAGGAGGTGGAGGTTGCAGTGAACCAAGATTGCGCCATTGCACTCCAGCCTAGGCGACAAGAGCAAAACTCTGTCTCTAAAAAAAAGAAAGAAATAAAAAGAAATGGGCCAGGTGGGCTGGGCGCAGTGGCTCACGCCTGTAATCTCAACACTTTGGGAGGCTGACATGGGCTGATCACAAGGTCGGAAGTTTGAGACCAGCCTGGCCAACATGGTGAAACCCCATGTCTACTAAAAATACAAAAATTGGCTGGGTTTGGTGGCAGATGCCTGTAATCCCAGCTACTTTGGAGGCTGAGGCAGAATTGCTTGAATCCAGGAGGCAGAGGTTGCAATGAACTGAAATTGTGCCACTGCACATCAGCCTGAGTGACAGAGCGAGACTCTATAAAAATAAAATAAAATAAAATGAAGAAGGAGGAGGAGGAAAAAGAAGAAGAAACAGCCAGTTGTGGTGGCTCACACCTGTAATCCCAGCAATTTGGGAGGCAGAGGAGGAGCAGCAGGAGGAGCAGGGGGAGGAGGAGGAGGAGAGGAAGAAGGAGGGGAAGGAGGAGGAGGAAGAGGTGAGGAGGAGGGTAAGGAGGAGGGGGAGGAAAAAGAAATGGAGGAGGAGGAGAAAGAAACAGCAGGCCGGGGGCAGTGGCTCATGCCTGTGAAGAGGCGGAGGAGGAAAAAAGAAACGGAGGAGGAAGAGAAAGAAACAACCCAGGAGGCAGAGGTTGTACTGAGCTGAGATCATGCCACTGCACTCCAGCCTGGGAGACAGAGCGAAACTGTGTCTCAAAAATAATAATAATAATAATAATAATAATAATAATAATAATATTAATAATAACAGCCAGGGTGCCACAGTGGCTGACGCCTGTAATCCCAGCAATTTGGGAGGCTGAGGCGGGAACATTGCTCGAAACCCAGGAGTCTGAGACCAGTCTGGGCAACATAGTGAGACCCTGTTTCTACAAAAAAATTAAACATTAGCAGGAATAGTGGCACAAGCCCAACTACAAGCCCAGCTACTCAGAAGGCTGAGGCAGGAGGATGACTTGAGCCCAGGAGGTCGAGGCTGCAGTGAGCTCTGGTTGAACCACTGCACTCACGCCTGGGCAGTGGAGTAAGACTTTGCCTGAAAAATATAATAACAAAGTTTGAAATACAATAAGAATTACTGAAATGTGACACAAAGACACCAAGTGAGCACGTGCTGTTGGAAAAAATGGTGCCAATCCACTAGGTCAACACAGGGTTACCACAATCCTGTAATATATTGAAAAAAATGGGTCAGGCAAGGGGCCAGGTGGGGTGGCTTACGCCTGTAATCTCAGCACTTTGGGTGGCCGAGGCGGGTGGATCACCTGAGGTCAGGAGTTCAAGACCAGCCTGGCCAACATGGTGAAACCCTGTCTCTATAAAAGATACAAAAATCAGTTGGGTGTGGTGGCACGTGTCTGTAATTCCAGCTACTTGGGAGGCTGAGGCAGGAGAATCGGCTTGATCCCGGGAGGCGGACGTTGCAGTGAGCTGAGATCATGCCACTGCACTCCAGCCTGGGTGGCAGAGTGAGACTCAGTCTCAAAAAAAGAACAAAATGTGGATGCTACGTGCCATCTCTCTGCCCTCGACTCCTGGGAGTAAGGGGTCACCCAGTGACCTCCTAGAAGGCCAGGGACAATGGGGGGTGTCAGCATGCTCTTCAGAGCCAAGGAAGCAGTAGGAATTGGGATCTTAGTCTGACTCCAAGCTGTGAGGGAGAGAGTTGCAGGGCACTTAGGGTTGGTGGAGACCGTCAGTGCCTCTTTGCCTGCCCCTGCAGCAGAAGTTCAGGACACCAGAGCCAAGACCAGAGGCCCTGGTGGAGCAGCGGTGAAGAGCATGGATTCTGACTTCAGACTGCTGGGCTGCAGCCCTGGCTCTCCCACCCCAGGTAAGGACAGGCTGCATGCCTCCCTGTGCCCCAGTTTCCCCTTCTGCATAGTGGAATTGTATTGATGCCTACCCCAGAGGGTTGTGTCATCAATTAGGATGGCACCTGGCACCTTGGTCAGTGGCAGGAAAGGTTCTAGAAGCTTGGCTCTGGTCCCAGGGGTGCCTGAGGCCCTGCCACCATCTCCTTGGGGTGGTGCCATGTGGTGGGAAAGACCCCAACTTCAAGCCCAGACTCAGTCACTCACGCCTGTAATACAAACACTCTCAGAGGCCGAGGCGGGAGGATCACCTGAGGTCAGGAATTCAAGACCAGCCTGGCCCACATGGTCAAACCCCTCTCTACTAATGATCCAAAAATTACCCAGGTGTGGTGGTGCGTGTCTGTAATCCCAGCTACTCCGGAGGCTGAGGCAGAAGAATCTCTCGAACTCAGGAGGCGGAGGTTGCAGAGAGCCGAGGTCGTGCCACTGCACTCCAGCCTGGCTCTGTCTTGGTGTTCAGCCACGTGGCCGTGCTCACTCCCAGGGTGACTCTGGGAAGGTCTGAGCCTCCTTGTCTTCCCAGTTAGAATGATCCGATGCCCCTGCTGCCATCAGACTTGGTGAGTTTCCCGAGGACTCTGCAAGAGGCGCTGTTCTGGAGGGTGGAGGCGAGACTAATTGTTCCTGCTCTCCTGGCCAGAGTGGGCACAGTGGATCCCGTCATGGAGAAGTTCCACGCATCCATCACCTACGACCGGCACCTGTGGGAGGTGGATGTTCAAGGCAGCAGAGGCTACAGCAGGGGCCTGGAGAAGGCAGGGCTCCTCACCAAGGCCGAGATGGACCAGATACTCCATGGCCTAGACAAGGTTCTTGCCATGGCCCATGCCTCACCGGAGTCCCCCTCCCTGTGGCCCCAGGCTCCCACCAAATCCCTGAGCAATTAGCACAGTGTTGCCTGTCTGTGGTTTCACGTTGAACTAATCATATACTCAAGTGCTGTTTAACTGTGTGCCTTGATGGCCGCCTCGCTCCTTTAATGACCCTGTGGCCCACATGGCTCATGGGTAAAGGTGTGCAGGGCCCCAGATGCACCTTCTCAGGGTGCGCTTTCAGGACTCAGCTCCTGGACAGGGACAGTCAGTCATCAGGGATAGGATGGGACCGGGGCAGGGGCTCTCGGCTGCTGATGCCTGCTCACCTGACCCCTGGCATTGCTGCTACCTGCTCTAGGTGGCTGAGGAGTGGGCCCAGGGCACCTTCAAACTCAGCCCCAATGATGCTGACATCCACACAGCCAACAAGCACCGCCTGAAGGTATGACCTCTGCAGCCCTGTAGGGAGACCCCCTGAAACTATTGCTATGGAATAAAAGATGAAATGCTCCTGATTATTGTAAATAGAAAATTGCATACAGGATTGTGTAAAGACAATGCCAGGTTGGACCGCCAGAATGAGCCAACAGCGTGTGATGTGCTTCCCCCTGCAGAGAGCCTATGAATGGATGTGCAGTCAGGGAAGTTTCACATCACCAAGATTCCTATCCCAGAAAAGCAGATGTTCATAGCTCCTGGAATGGAATGCGAACCTTGTTGAGAGCCTATAAATGGATGCCTGGGGTGCGCCTGTCCATATGGATAAGATAGGGCTATAAACGCCCTCATCTTGCCACGGCTCTTCTAGGCCTCTTTAGGGTTAAGGCATACTCCCTTCTGAGAATTTCTGGTCTAATGGGTTGTCTAGCTTCACGTCCTGTTTCTATGGATTGTAACCAATTTTTGCTGCAGCTGTTACTGCTGATTAATATCTTGCTAATCATAGGTTATGGAAAGACTGTGTTTCTGTTTTAAGGCTCTGTTAGAAATTACTGATGCACACACTACATTGTAAATTCTTATCTGTATACTGTACTTCTGCATACAGATGTTATGTTAAAGAATTACTTCATCCCCATGTCACCATCTCACCTCATAATCAAATGACCCTAAATCCCTCACTAACCTACTTCTGCCCTCACTAAACTTAATAATAAATGCTGGTATATCCAGTGCATTGGCAGCACTATGGGACCAGAGGTGGTGACCCCCCTGGACCCAGCTTTCACTATCCTGTGTCTATTATTTCTCAACCTGTCGATCCACCTGGGAACAAAGAGAGAGCCCCATTGCATTGCGGGCTGCTGGCCAGATCCCGCAATACAGCCCCACCACTTTCCTGGCCTCCCCTCACCACCTTGCCTGGGGCCGCGTTGAGCATTAGCGCCATCATTCTGTTTGCTTCGCCATTGGCAGACAGCAGGTGAGACCCCAGGACATGGGCCAGGCGCAGTGGCTCATGCCTATAATCCTAGCACTTTGGGAGGCTGAGGTGGGAGGATCGCTTGAGGCCAGGAGTTTCAGACCTGACTGGGCAATAACAACGTGGTCCTGTAACTACAAAAAAAAAAAAAAAGAACAAAAGGCCTCAACAAAGATGGTGAGAGATTTGGGCAGGACCTGGGGCCCAGGGGTAGGGAGGGAGGTTGGCAGGGTTGATGGGGAACCCTACCTTGCCTGGGCTGACCCCTCGGGATATAGACCGTGACCCTGGGCCTCCCTTCACCTCCAGGAGCTCATTGGTGAAACTGCAGGGAAGCCACACACGGGACGGAGCTGGAACAACCAGGTGCCTCTAGCCCTCTGCCCCCCTGCTCTGTGCTGTCCCAACCTTGGGGAGCCCAGGGGGCAGTCAGTTCAGCAGTGGTCCTGGCTCCCCAGGGTAGCAACACGTCGGCCTCCCTGAGCACCACCTCCTCCTTGCACAGGTGGTCATGGACCTCAGGTTGTAGATGCGCAGACCTGCTTCACACTCTCAGGGCTCCTCTGGGAGCTCATCAGGACTGTGGTGGATCAGGCAGAGGTGTGAGTCCCCGAGGGATGCCCAGGGGGCAGAGAGAGGTGTGATGGGAACCTGAAGAGCAGACCTAGGTGGCAGGGGTGAACAGGGTAGGAGTGCCAGGCCCTGGGGGACAGGGACATCCCAGAATTCCAGGGTCTAGGCAAAGCAGCCAAGAGTGGGGCATTTCCTGCAGACCCCAATACTCCCATGGCAGTCTAGCTCAGCCAACAGGGAAAGCTCACCCTTCATGGGGCTGGGTGCGGGGGTTCATGCCTGTAATCCCAGTACTTTAGGAGGCCGAAGGGGGTGGGTCACGTGAGGTCAGGAGTTTCAGACTAGCCTGACCAACATGGTGAAACTCTATGTCTACTAAAAATATAAAAATTAGGCAGGTGTGGTGGTGGGCGCCTGTAATCCCAGCTACTCGGGAGGCTGAGGCAGGACCAACTGCTTGAACCCAGGAGGCAGAGGTTGCAGTGAGCCGAGATCGCGCCACTGAACTCCAGCCTGGGCGACAGAACAAAACTCCATCTCAAAAAAATAAAAGGCAAGGGTGGGGGCACATGTTCTCAGGATCTCCTGAGGGCTGTGTCATGGGTCTTAGTCACTAAAAAATTAAATTAAAAATTAAAAAAAATAAGCAAGGGACTTGAGTAGACATTTCTCCAAAGAAGATATATGTATTGGTTGAAACGTACATGAAAAGATATTGAATATCATGAATCGTTTAGGAGCTACAAATCAAAACCACAGTGACATGCCCCTTCACTCCCATTTGGATGACTGATATTAAAAACAAACGAAAAAAGAAAATGAAAAATAACAAGGCTTGGCAAGGATGTGGAGAAATGGGAACCACATTGTGCATTGCTGGTAGCAATATAAAATGGTGCAGCTACTGTGGAAAACAGTTTGGCCGTTCCTCAAAAAGCTAAATTACTAAGCAATTCAGTCATTCCACCCCTATATACATACTCAGGAGATCAGAAAGCAGGGACTCAGATACTTGCATGCCTGTGTCCGCAGCAGCATTATCTGTAATAGCCAAATGTTGGAAACAAGCCAGATGTGCGTCCGCAGATGAATGGATAAACAAAATGCAGGATCCACACAATGGACTCTTATTCAGCTGTAAAAAGGCATTAGGTTGGCCAGGCACTGTGGCTCACACCTGTAATCCCAACACTTTGGGAGGCCGAGGCAGGTAGATGGCTTGAGGCTAGGAGTTCGAGACCAACCTGGCCAATATGGTGAATTTCCGTCTCTACTAAATACACAAAAATTAGCTGGGCGCAGTGGCGCATGCCTTTAAACCCAGCTACTAGGAAGGCTGAGGCAGGAGAATCACTTGATCCCAGGAGACAGGTTGCAGTGAGCTGAGATCACACCACTGCACTCCAGCCTGGGTGACAAAGTGAGACTCAGTCTCAAAAAAAAAAAAAAGTACATGATGAGACTGGCAGTCTTGCCATACCAGGTCACAAGGAAGCTCTCGAAGGCGTCGATGGCTATGTCAAAAGGACTCAAGAGCTGCCTTTGAAGAGGCCCCCAGTAGCCCGAGGACAATTTGAGCTGCACTAGGAATAATACTTGCATGGATTGAATCCATTAGTCATTTTAATAATGAGACTTCAAATGAACAAACAAAACTAACCAATCACCTTTGGAGGATGATTAGAAGCCAATTTATGGCCAGGCACGGTGGCTCACGCCTCTAATCCTAGTACTTTGGGAGGCCAAGGCGGGCAGATTGCTGGAGTCCAGGAGTTGGAGACCAGCCTGGGCAACATGGCAAAACCCTGTCTCTACTAAAAATGCAAAAAATTAGCCAGCATGGTGGCGCATGCCTGTAGTCCCAGCTACTCGGGAGGCTGAAGTGGGAGGATCAACTGGGTCAGGGAAGTCGAGGCTGCAGTGAGCTGTGATTGCAACACTGCACTCCAGCCTGGGCAACAAGAGTAAGACCCTGTTTCAAAAAAAGAGAAGCCAATTCCTTACCTTGAAAATAGGCAAAAAAAATGGGAAAGAATCTAAACATTGATCTTGCCTGCCCTATACGAACTTTATCTTGCAGCGTAAGTCGCAAAGACGCGTTACGTCCCTCCTGAGGAAAGATCACAGTACCACCTATAGTGTAGCCAAAGGGATCAAATGTGGATCTGACCGAGCTTACAGATCCAGCTGCTCACTTGCTGGAAAAACAGAAGATAGAGAACAAGTTGAACTGCAATGAAAGTAAACCATCAGCAAAATCCAGGACTCCAGAATTCTACAGGTCAAACTGTTGGGCTCTTCATCATGAAACTGTAAGAATAAAAAGGGATGAGGCTGAAGCAGAAGGATTGCTTGAGGCCAGGGGTTCAAGACCAGTGTGGGCAGCATAGCAAGATTCTGTCTCTACAAAAAATACTAAAATAAAATAAAGAAAAAAGAAAGGAATTGAGGGTGATCCTCTAGATAAAGAGTATTTTGTTTGTTTGTTTGTTTTGAGATGGAGTCTTCTTTTGTCTCCTAGGCTGCAGGGCAATTGCAGGGCAATGGCCCAGTCTTGGCTCACTGCACCCTCCACCTCCCAGGTTCAAGCAATTGTCCCATCTCAGCCTCCTGAGTAGCTGGGATTACAGGCACCTGCCCAGTTAAGTTTTGTATTTTTGTAGAGATGGGGTTTCACCATGTTGGCCAGGCTGGTCTTGAACTCCTGGCCTCAGGTGATTGGCCTGCCTCTGCCTCCCAAAGTTCTAGGATTACAGGCGTAAGCCACTGTGCCTGGCCAAAGAGTCTTAAAAGACATGTTAGAGTCAACAGAAGTGCAAGAGAAAACTATCATGGTAAGGGATAGAAATAAAACTGTGAAGAAGCCAAAGAAGTGGTTTCTGTGAAGTCAGAATTGTGGGTACTTGAAGCAGGAGGAAGGTCATTGTATTTGAGACAGGACAAAAGGGAAGTTTCTGTAGTGGCTGGAAAAGAGTTCTTTTCTTTTTCTTTTTTGGAGATACAGTCATGTTCTGTTGCCCAGGCTGGAATGCAGTGGCGCCATCATAGCTCACTGCAGCCTCAAACTCCTGGGCTCAAGCGATCCTCCCACCTCAGCCTCCCAAGTAACTGGAACTACAGCTGCATGCCACCATACCCAGCTAATTGTTGACATTTTTTTTTTCGTAGAGGCGGTATCCTGCTGTGTTGCTCAGGCTGGTCTCGAACTCCTGGCCTCAAGCAATCCTCCCACCTCAGCCTCCCAAAGTGCTGGGATTCTAGGTATAGGCCACCACAGCCAGTCTACTTCTTGACCTTGAGTGGTGGTTACAATGATAAGCTCTCCTTACAATTCATACAGCTATGAATTATAATCAACACGTTTTATTTATAATTCTCTCCTTAGGCCGGGTGCAGGGGCTCATGCCTGTAATCCTAACACTGACACAGGAGTCCAGGGGTTCAAGGCTGCAGATGAGCTATGATTGTGCCACTGCACTACAGCTGGAGGTGGCAGAGTGAGACCCTATCTCTAAAAAATAACAATAACAATGATAATAGTAATAATAATTATTATCTCCTTATAGTTCATGATTTTTTTTTGTTTGTTTCATTTTTTGGTTTTTTTGAGATGGAGTCTTGCTCTGTTGCCCAGGCTGGAGTGCAGTGACCCTATCTCGGCTCACTGCAACCTCTACCTCCCGGGTTCAAGTGATTCTCCTGCCTCAGCCTCCTGAGTAGCTGGGATTACAGGTGCCTGCAACTAAGCCCAGCTAATTTCTGTATTTGTAGTAGAGACAGAGTTTTGCCATGTTGGCCAGGCTGGTCTTGAACTCCTGACATCAGGTAATCTGCCCACCTCAGCCTCCCAAAGTGCTGGGATTACAGGTGTGAGCCACCACGGCCTGGCCAGTTCTCATGTTTTTTTTTGTGTGTGTTTTTTTGGGCACTTAGTAGGTGTATATATTCATGGTGTACATTTGTTTTTTGTGTGTGTTTTCTTTTTTTTTTTTTTTTTGTATCTGTGTTTATCATAAAATTAAAAAATTAAGTTTATTTCAAAACCAAATCCTCTAATTTTTTTTTTCCCAGGAAATCCTGCAAGGGCATAAAACTGAAGTAAATGGATTGGATGGAACTGGAGTCAAGAGTGACTCCTGGATTTACATAACAAGGGTAAGGCGAGAATCACAAAAACATCACAAGGCCATGTATAGCTTATAACGAATAACTAACAGTCTCCTGCAATGTATTGCAAGGTTACAGCACTTTGTAAGATGATGAGGATGACTTTCCAGAGAAGGCAGGATAGGAGCCAAACCTTTTTGTTGTTTTTGAGATGGAGCCTCGATCTGTCATCCAGGCTGCAGTGCAGTGGCACGATCTTGGCTCACCGCAACCTCTGCCTCCCGGGTTCAAGGGATTCTCCTGCCTCAGCCTCCTGCGTAGCTGAGACTGCAGGCACATGCCACCATAACCAGCTGATTTTTTTATTTTTGTAGAGATGAAGTTTGACCATGTCTCCCAGGCTGGTCTGGAACTTCTGGGTTCAAGTGATCCTCCCACCTTGGCCTCCCAAAGTGCTGGGATCACAGGCGTGAGCCACCTCACCCAGCCTTAACCATTTTTAAGTGTACAGTCCAGTGATATTAAAGATACTTAAAATGTTGTAAACCATCACTACCATCTATCTCCATAACTCTTTTCATCTCATAAAACAAAAAAGTATGTACCTATTCAACAATAACTTCCAATCCGCTCTCCACCCCTCCCCTGGAGACCACCATTTTGCTTTCTGTCTCTGTGATTTTGACTTTGCTAAGTACCTTGTATAAGTGGAATCATCCAATATTTTTTGTGTGTAACTGGCTTATTACATCTAGCATAATATCCCTAAGGGTCATCCATATTGCAGTGTCTGAACTTTTTTTTGCTTTTTAAGGCTAAATGATATTCCATGGTATGTATATGCCACATTTGGCTTATCCATTTATCCATCGATGAACACGGTTTGCTTATTGTGTGTGTGTGGGGGCAGGGGGGAGTTGGAGACA